AAGCTCTTGTAATAAGGTAACTCAACCAAACGTAATATCCATATTAAAGAAATATTTACACTACAAAAGAAGCTCATAACAGAATCCACACATTGCGTTCGGCAACATAGCAATTTCAGAAGTAAGCCAATTTTTCTACAGGATTTCAACAACTTCCAAAGAGAAACAATATTTTTGAATTCTCTTAAATGGTTCTGTTCAAAAGGTAGTAGTAAATGTTGCTAAAACTCAAAGATAAAAAATTGAATACATATCACAAAAATTCTCAATTAATTTTATAAAAAATGTTTTCATAAAATTATTTCCAAAAGTTAAAACAGAAACAAATTCTTTACAGAACATCGAACACACAAAAATACACTTTTACATTAAACCTATATAAATCAAGTTTAAAATTCAATACTGTTAGAGTGACCATAATCATAGCAGTGAATGTGTTTATTTTTCACTTGAAGATTTTGGGGATTGTATCTTTCCCATAAAACATCTGAGGTAGACAAAACATATTTTTTGCAAATTTAATTTAGAACCCTCACTTTTCTTCTTGCGTCTTATACCATCATATCTCCATTACCGTTCGTTCTCTTTGTCATTAGCATCTCAATTCAATTGTTTATAGCCCTATCCAGTCCAAAAGAAGAAAATCACAAATACTAAAAAATACCATAAGCAAAGTATATAGTTCCAATGAGTTAGTCTTCACGAGCACTTAATTAGAAAAAGCAATTCAATTAACTTAATGAGTACATCTGCTCTACTTTACAAAATTCAATTAATAATAATAATAATAATAATAATAATAATAATAATTAATATGTAACTGCTACCATAATAACAGCTTTCTATAACTGAATGATACTAAATGAGGTTGAAATATTAAGAATATTTTTAACTTGTACAAAATAGGTTATTATTTGTGTAATGTTCTATATTCTTAAAACATTAAAGAGCAAATTTTCTCGCACCTTCACTTAGAAGCCTCAAGCAAAATTGTAATGGACATACAACTGTTATGTCAGTTATATCTATCTTTGCAACAATTGAGATTCAGAGAGCATTTATGGTAAATTAAGAACATCTATATAATCAGCATAAAAAGTAGCAACAGTTCTTCAAATGTTTTCAACTTTTTAAGTTCTCATGCTTATAGTTACATGTAAGTAAAGCCTATTAATGAACTACACCACAGATGTTCTAATACTGACTCTGGAACAAAACTTTCGTTATTATTGGAAACTAAGGTCTCTTCTTGAACTTGAACTTAGGATTAGGCATGACAGATATAAACATTATTACACTGAAAATCATAACTACCCTAATATTAGAAAATATATAAATAAGTTATAATAAAACACACTAAGGTCATAACTTTTCTATGATCATCTGTAAATCCAGAGTGTGTAAATTTAACTCTGGTTCTGGACATGGAGGAATTGTTTAAAATAGAGTAATCTGAAGAAAATTTGACATTAAAAAAACAAACACAAAAGTTAACAGTAAGAGAAATCAAATTAGAGTTCAAAATTTCCATCAGTAATCTCTGAATGAGGACTGTAGCAAATATGAAACAAAAGCGTGCAATAAGATTTCGAAGTTAAAGTATGAAGCCAAACCAAGGAAAAAGTAGGATATTAGCGAACCTTTTTATATTCTTATTTTATAATGAAGCAGATTGCTATTGATGAAGAATTTGTATTTCACAGATCCAATGACTTGACTATTTCACATAAAAGAATCTTGAATAAAGGCAGGCTAACATTATTTTTTTAGACAAAAAAGATTGTTAAGATTGTGTTAATCTTGTTAAGTTATGTTTCCATATGTTAAGAAAATAAAAATATTTACATCTAATGTCTCTGGATTTTTAGGAACAAGCCATTTTTGTAAAAGCAATATACGCAAATGTTCAGAATTAATCTTATTTAAGACAACCATAAAAATGTCTTAAGTAGTGAAGGATATTTATCATTCACTGAAGACATTTCTTACCATTGAATCTGACATGAAATACCACACAATGTGATGTAATCTATGAATTGACCATCTATATTGCAATCTTCTTATCATGGTTTCTTTTGTACAACTTTTGAAGATTTGTACCCAAAATGGTAGTAAAGTTTGGTGAACACTCACGTACTCTGCTGTTCACAATGACTACATTTCATAAGGAAGTCCAACAAACAGTCAACATATATATCCTAAATACCCTTTTTCCACACAGAGGCAAGGTCAAACAGGAGAATGTTATGGATATTATCAGTTAATATCCTTACACATCATCTTCCTCTCTGTAATTATTTTCAGTTTACATTAACATTATATAATATGAATGTTATTTAATAAATTACTATATTCTACTGAAGCACCAATACATGAGCTCATTTACTAAAAGAAGAGGAATTTGACAGGTTGAAAGACGATTCGAAAGGTAAACATGGATTAAAAGAACAACAGAAAACAGTATTTCTGAAAAATGTAACCTAATTGAATAGTTGTCAAAATGGTAAACACACTATACTTAAAGATCAGCGACATTATTCTTTTTTGCATTAGAATATAATACATAAAACACAAATTTTCATGAACATTTTTACACATTACATCATTGTCTTATTAAACTTTATTTTAAAGACACCTTTCTTTTTGTAATAACACTACAAACTACATATAGTTGTTACAGCAATTCCTTTCAAGATATTTGAGACACAAGATATGCACAAAACAAAAATTACGCAGTTAATAAAACACACACGCACACATATCTCTCAATTATTTATATCTAATTACAAGAGGTAAAGCCAGTCCTGCCATGATATTGATGTAATTTCAAATATTCAACATGTAGCAATTATCTCATGAAAAGAAGACTTATTTCCACTTGGACAATTCAGAGATAATGTGTGCTAACAATGTTGACAACAGTCAAGCATGTGTTTGTAGGTTACCAAACAATTATCACAGACGGAATTCTTGTTTTGTTTAGGTACAAGTTGTATCTAAGCAAACAAGATAATTATTCTATTATTTCCTTCCATTATAGATTATAGTAATTAATTAGAACTGCCAAGAACATGTCTGAAATTTACAAACAAATATAGGAATTCTGTGTGACAAAATTCATTATTTGCAAATGTGACAATTTTCAAGAGTTCTGATTAAAGAAAAAATCAATATAATAAGATTAGTTCTTTGAAGTACAATTATCAATTTTACAATTTGCAATGAAATGAAAATTGCTCTCAAACTTCACCAATATACAGCTAACACATAAAATGATTCTGTTTTTCAGGTTGTAAGAATGAATACTCTTGTGACTAACAATATCAATTTTGCATAGGGGATTAAAATTTCATGTTTTGCAACTGGAAGACAGAAATGAAGGGAGCATCATAAATAAATGGAAACAGGTCAGATATCATGCAATACCATTCTTAACATTGCCAGAATATGCAATAAAATGAAACAAAATGAAAAAAATGTATTCAAGCAATGAAACAAAAACAGGAAGACTGACCACATTTCAAAGAATTAAGGACTACAACATGAAAACACCTGAAAGATAATTATTTCTGCAAAAGCAGTAAGAGAAGAAATAATGCGGATAACAAATTTCTAGTACTGTTGTGCAAATCATAACTTATCAATGATGGAACAACAAAGGAATCGGAGTCCCATGCTTTTAAAATTGGCTATTAAAGGATGTGGAAGATGAATAAGCCTTAGATATTTGTGTTGAATTGAACAGACAGAAAACTTTTCAGTTTCAGTTTAAAATGAATCTGACTGTCAAAACTGTCAAGGCAGGTAAATGCAACCCTAATTTACAATTACTTCAATGAGCACATGAAAATTAAGTACCATTTATATGACATTAATGGAATATAAATGTCTAAAGAGCTGAATCTTGGACTAAGAAAATCTTGAGATTGTCAGAAGAATGGAGATTGCACAGAAGTTATCAACAGCTCTGTAATTTTGTTTAGCACACAGCAAACCAAAAGTTCAGTGGTTTAATGTAATTTCATAATAATTACCAACCTCCAGAAAATTATCTTCTCTAATAACATTTTTAAACAAATAATACTTTGATTATATATATTGTGATAATACCCTATGAGGCATGCTGGCTTGATATCACACGGAAGGTCAGTTGGGACTGAAGAAAGAGACATTAAATTTGAGTCTCCCCCCGATGAAAAACAAATGTTGACAATGTGCCACAAATGCAAATTCAAAAGGAAATATCCACAAGCCCAAATGTGTAACAATTATTACACATTTATGGAAGCTTTCAGACAAAAGGAAGAATGTGTATAATTATAAAATAACTATTAAATTTGGTTTTTTCTTTGTTTGAAGACCTATTTGCAGCAATCAATTAATCTTACATTTTCCAGCCAGTGATTTCAATTACATTTTTGAACAGATGTCCAGTCATTGCAGGTTTTTGGGAAGGAGGATTATTTATTAGAAGATGGTAACTTTCTTCATCATCAAATATTAAAAGTAACTGCAGTTATACAAGTACGCAGTATCTTATCAGTAAGCTGTGGATATTTGCCTATTTTTTCCCTTCAATTGAAAACGCAATCTTTTGTGTTACATACTCATTTTGAGGCATCACAAGCTATATATGAGAAATTTATTAAAGGAATATTAAAAAATGGTGATTTATATTTTTTAAAGTGGTTTTTGCGTAAGTTCTGCTTGAAATTAATTCAAATTACAAAAATAATACTCAAAAATTGATACAATTTTCTTCATATTTTCTTCTTCTACCGATAGAACAAGGGATGCTTAAAAGAATGGTACAGATCTCATTTTCGTTAAACATTGAATTTTTTGAAAATTGCAAAAGTTTATTTTTTAATGAAATAATGCAAGAAAGTACGTACTGTTGTAGCTCCATTAGTGATATGCATTGCATTTGAAAAAAATCATACAATGTTTTCAATTATTTTTAAATTAAAGGTAAAAGATCATACATGCATCATTTAAGTATCAGCTTGCATTTAATAAAAAGCTAAAAGGTAGCTTCTGTGATCCAGCCCTTTTTGGCTGAATTTCCCTGACAATGATAGAAAGAATTTTTACAAAAATTAGTCAGAGTAGTGATGAAAACAAAAATTTCATGAATGTAACTATATTATGTTACCTTCAGAAACTTGCTAAACAAGTAATAAGGATAAGAAAAATGTATAGTACTAATTTAAATGCCTATTTTACATTTTTAAGTGCTAAGTTTTATAATTTTAAATGCTTATTTTACCTCCCTATTTCTACAGTTTTTCGTGTCTATAAATCCACAGCTTACTAATTTTTAAAGTTGAAATAAAGATTAACAAATTTGTACTCTGAAAATTATTGTTATAAAAGAACTCTAGCAACATATTTATATTTTTTCACAATAATATAAATGAAAACAACTAAACAACGACATAAAATACAATGGCAAGAACTGACGGGATTAATGAAAATGATGAAGAGAAATGTAACGAAACAAAGAAAGTTTTTTGTAATGAGTAGTTTATAGTTTGTTGCATGTATCACATAATTGATGGCTCTAGGAAAGAAGCAACAAAGTGATATACATGCCTTGCGATTAGTAAAAGTAAGATAACAACGAAATGTGCGATTCAGATCATAGAGTAGTAGCCCCTTCACTGATTTTCCATTATCTGAATTACGTGGTTCTACGAGCACCTTTTCAATGATCCTTACATGGTCATATTTTTGGAAAGTTTCTGCCATTATCAAGTGAAGCAATTATCATCTACTTCAAAGAACAATTATATAGTTCACTCATCCTTCTTCCTCGGTACATTAGTAGTGTCAATTCTACTCAACGTTTCCATGCCAACAGGTATGTAAACACCCAAGTCAGAGGGCATGATCAAAGGAAAGAAAATTCATAAGTCGAAAAATTCATAAGTCTTTTCATACTCTTGGCCAACTCTCCATATGCAAATGTTCTACAGATACCTACCGGATAAGAGCAAAACATTTGAGGTACCTCTAATCAATTTTACTTCATGAGCAACTTTCTTTTTGTGGCTTCAAACTTTCATCAATATATTAATATAGTATTAATTCATCCCAAAACAAGGGATATATGCCTAGAAACCTGTCAGATTTACTACAAATGTCAATCTACTTTTAAATCATGAATACAGCTGTCTTTGTAAGACCTTAACATGTTATTGTCAAAAAGTAGTAATAAAATTATTTTAAACAAATGCCTTTCTGATATTTTCCGCTGTCTCTTAGATACATGTATTTATTCATCTACAATACAAAAAGCATTTCAACAAAATAAAAATGAAAGAAAGCAGTTCCTAAGTTTTCAGATCTATCAATTTTTTGTTTTAAGGGACAAAAACTGTTACTGCCCCATGATCTCTGACAAGTTTATTAGCAACTAATTATCAATCTCAACTAATTATCTTCATTAGATTCTCTCAGTACCTTCAATATTGTCTTCTCTTATCAATTAAAAATTTATATAAATTCAAAATTCACTACACTCTCAATGCCTTGCTGTTATCTTCAAATGAAGAATGATAACCATTTCAACAGATCACTAAAGAAAATATACATAATAAAGCAGTATCAATTAACCTTCACATATTTTTAGTAATTTTAGAAAAAGTTATAAAATAAATGAAAACTAGTGCTTAGCAACTCGTGCTGCTCTAATTCAAATTTCCTAGTAATTACAAAGCATATACATAGTAGAAGATCCAAAAAATTAAACAACAAATTTACAATTATTTGATTTCTAGACAACTGCCAACCTTAATATCCACAATTTATTTCCTACTACTGAAGCCTCTTTCTTCCATGTCACAAGTCAGTTCTGCTTGCAATCTAATTAATATGAGTCTAGCAAGCTTATTAAAACAACTCAAACTTTTTACCTTGTGGAGAGATTCTTCTGTTCTTCTAAAGTTTAGCACAGCCTTCTTGATTTGCTATACTTCAAAAATAAAATGTGAATGAAATAAATTTTAAAATGTCAAAATATTTGGGATCAAAAACTAAAAATTGAAGAGAGAAGAGTTCTTAATGTATCTTTGTCTCATGGCAAGTAAGTACTAATATAATACTCAGATACTGAGAATAGAAATCAATTTACCTTAAATTGAGAAGTGGATGGTATGCTCTTTTCCTTAACAGAGCACTGAAAACTTCAAAGCTCATCTTTTTTCTTATCATTCTGTGACTTTGTAGGTGATCGCAAAAAATCTTTTAGTGATGAAATCACTCTATTACCATTGTAATCGGTAACGTATTTTCCATCTTTAAAATATTTCAGAGTCGGAAATGATCTTATATCGTAACGCTCTTGTAATGCTGTATTAGATTGTACATCCACAGCAGCTAAGATCCCAGGTACACCTTCATCCTTTAATTGTTTTGCTGCCAAACTAAACTCCGGCTTTAGTCTTTTACAGTAACCACACCCTGTAGAAAAACATGAATTTTTTTAAGTACTAAAATGTCTGAATGATTTGGTTGATTTACATACAAAAGACAAATTATTAAACAAGGATCACCACGTCAAATATTGAAAGTAAAAACGTACAAGGAACGTAAAACATCACAAGCATTGGTTGTCCGCTTCTCAGTTGAGTATCAAAAGTGCTATCAGTTAGTAAAGGTACAAATTCAGCACCTTCCAAATGGGACCAACTATCACCTGAGTCTGGTGGTGCACTAACTTTCAAAGGATCATTCATAAAATTTGTGAAGTCATTTTCCTAAAATAGATAAATCATAGGTTTACTGGTTGAAAATTATTACTATTGTTAGAAAAGACAAGAAATGCACACTATTACACCTACCATTCGACCTCCATTGTAACTACGCGTTTCCTTATTGTAATAATGAAAATATTTGAAAGTAGGATAACCTTTTACATCCAATGTACTACAGATGGATGAAAATGTTGTACAATCTACAGCTGCAAATTCAACTTTCGGGTCATCTTTGAATTTTTCAGCTGCTCTTGTAAATTCAGGTTTTGCCTTTTTGCAATGACCACACCCTAAAATGGAAAAGTTAAGCTACTTAGTTAATTAGATATGGTAAACTGAACAACATTTATAGTCATACAAATGGAAATATCTGTCTTTTCTTTTTACTTTTATTTTTAATGGCTTATTCAATTCATGTATTTATGCCAAGATGTTTACATCTACAAATTAAAGAAACCAAGTAAAACAACACTGAAAGGGGCAATTCTTACATGGTGCGTAGAACATAGTTAAGACATGTTTCTTCTTTTTGAGAAATGGTTTGAATGTTTCATCAGTAAGATGCACAACTTCAGACACTTCATCGCTCCAAGGCTGCTCTGGTGGAGGAGGTGGTGGTGGTTCCCGTGGTTCACGCATAAATTCAACTATTTTTGATACATCCCTTACATTTGCATCGAAGGCAACTTCTCCATTTTTGAAGTATTTCACTGTAGGATATCCTCTTATATTGAATCGACCTGCAATTGTAGATTCTTTTGTGGCATCTAGTGCAGCTAAAATTCCGGGAATCTGAAAATTTGATGATGAGTTTAACAAGAAAAATTTACACTTCATTCACAATGTATGCTCAAATTGGATTCAAAGCATTTATTACAATGAAATGTAAGTTTGAAGAAAATATTTTTAGAATCTGCAAAACAAAATTTATTAAGGGCCAGTAATATCCAAGACCTAGTCCTTAAATTCTAATAACTGACAAACAGAGCTCTTAATTATAGTTAAATGCTTGATGAAGTTCTAAGAATTCTCTTCAAGAACACATGCTCACCTTTTCTTCCTTGAGGCGTTCGGCAGCTTTCTCATATTCAGGTTTCATTTTCTTGCAATGCCCGCACCACGGAGCATAAAACATCACTAACACAGAAGGTTCTTCCTACCAACAAAATGTTGTAAGATTCTGACTTGCAAAAACAGTAAACGAAATACATATATAAATTATTCAAATACCTTAATAACTTTGTCAAAATTTTCTGTAGTTAAATGTACTACAAGGCTGTCTGTTTCTGACCATTCTGTTTCTTTAGGTTTCTCAGGAGGCTTTGATGGATTTTTCATAAATGTAACAATTGCATTTTTGTTGTTTTCACCTTCATAAACAAATTTTTTGTTTCCACTCCTATAAATATGCAAGCAATAGAGAAAAAAATTAACTACTCCTTTCTGCACTGATTCCCAGACACTACAAAATAGTTCTTAAACCACAGAGAACAGCATTTAAAATATTACTAATCAGTAGACAAGATTTTTATGTAAATACCTATTTTACTCTTAACGTTAATACTCAAAATTAATTACAAACACACACACATTTCATGATTTTATATTACAGGAACCAGCCTTACAACGTCTAAAATGTCTATTTCAGCATCAATGCCTAAAAATGTCTATCCTTCCATTAAGTACCTAATTTTGGGATTTTTAAAAGTTATAATGGCTATTTGCATGAATACTGGTCACCACAATGGGCAATATTCTAGAAGACTTAACAATTTCATCAATTAAAAATCTGTCACAACTTACTCATAATAAAGAAGAGTCGGAAAGCCAGTAATGTTGTAATGTTGTCTTAAAAAGGAATTCTCAGGCCTGTTCACATCTATGGCAGCCAAAACAGAATGACCTTTCAATTCTGTTGCAGCAGCTGAATATTCAGGTTTCAATTGCTTACAAAAACCACACCATGGAGCATAGAACATCACCATGGTAGGGCGTATTTCTTTTCGAAGAAAACGTGAAAGGCTCTGCAAGTGAAAACCAAAACAAATATTAAAAGAAAATTCCATAAAATGTAGGACAATGCACACTTCAAGTTAATGGTAATAATAATGTTTATTCCACATGCAATCACCCAATTAATACATACTAGTACAGAAGTTGCAATGATACAAAAGAAAACAAATAGATACAATGAGACACAACCATGAATTACTTAAACTTAGCAGAATTTTTAAACCGTTTTACAGTATTTTCATCTGAGATAAAAAGGGATTTTGTTGTCTATTGTAACATGCTTGCACATTCTCCACATTGGGGAATTATACCAATTGTTTGCGCAAGTAGTTGGTACAGAGAAGGTGTAATGGTTTCCTTTCAATTGGCACGTGGGTATTTTCCTTGATACCTATAAAAGTAACTCGGCACAATCTATCCCATTCTTGCATAGTTTGAATATGAATATAAGATCATGAAGTCTATGTGACTCAAGAGAGCTTATAATAACTATTTGTGCTATTTGAGTATAATTGTGGGATAAGAATAGAGATGGCAAGCCGAGTTTCTAAGTTAGAAAATTTAGATACTTTTAATGAACAGTTTCTAATTGATTTTTGTACGACATATATGATGGAGACCATATTTGAGATGCGTACATCAAAATAGGCCTTATTAAGGAAGAATAAAGAATTTTGAGTGACTTAAATTTTTAAATTCCACTGTCGTCCTCCTCACAGAGCCACCTCCCACAATATTTTCACATACAAACATTATCATTGATGTAACGGAAATTAAGTTCTTAATTTATGCTTATTCCAAACGTTTAAGAAAGCATCCCAAAAAATTTCAGGCAAAATTTTCGTTATTCATTTGAAACATTTGATTCTTTAAATTTGCCAAAGTTAAAAACAGTTCTTCAGTAAAATTCCCATTTTGTGGCTTGTCAGAGCATCAGGCCATTAGAATTCTCCTCCAGACAGCAGCTGAATTTGACCTAGCTATGCGGCAAGACTGAAAATCTTGCAACCATCGGGACTCTAACCTAGGACCTCCTGGTCAGAGGTGCTGCAGTGACATCAATTGATGACCTGAGCCATCCAAGTCAGTAGAGAAGTTGTCAATCTGACATGATATATTATTTAACAGTAAGTCATCTCCAATAAATTAGTGTAATAAGATATGCTATATCTAAAATGAGAAAAAAGGTAACAGTATTATAAGCTGAAGAGAGGCTTGAAAAAACCTCACAAATGTGATATATCAATACATTTTCCTGTAATTCAAGTTAGTGAAATGTCTAAAGTGTTTTATGGGAATTTTACATCAAATCTGCATTCATTAATATGTATACCCCAGACTTTACAGAAATTGACTGAATTCCAAATAATCCTTAGTGTAAAATATTTTGTTCCTAATTTTGTACTTAATTCACTGAATTCCATTGTAGATTTAACAGAATTAAAAGTTCTTACACGTCATAATCTCAGCTTTCTACAACTGCACATTATTCATTTGCAGTGATACCTGTAAATGTTTTTCTGATGTACATAATGCTAGTGATGGTTTCTTCATCATACGCTATTGATTTATTATTACACACTTTATTTAAAACTCCCTGAATCATGCCACCCAATTCTTCAATTATGCAACGAATAGTCCTCAACAAGGAACTGATTGTTTATTGCCATTCTATTTATTTGTATACTTGGAGAAGAGAAGGGAAGTAGGTGGGGAAATGATCCTGCAAAAACAAGATCCTAAAAAAGCAGGAAAAGAGGGCAAAATTGCAGAAAATTGTTTCAAGTATCCAAATCATTAGTCTGAAAACAATGAGGCCAAAAATAATCAGAAGTTAAAATGCAAAATAATAAATATGAAGCTTAGAAGAGATAACATGATGTCTCAGACTTATCAAGAACTACATCAAATTATTATGATACTCAAATAAGAAACTAATAGTAGAATAAAAGGGAAATCAAATCACAAAGTTTTATTTTAAGATAGAGTTAAATATTCTCTTGAAACATTTTAATTTAATTACTAGTCCTAATGATACTATAAAATTGTATGATGTACTTAATAAAAAATACATACTGACGCATCAGGAAGATGAACAACATCCACAGCAGTTGTATCTTCTTCCCAAGGAATATCTCCTGCTGGATCTCTCATAAAATTAACCATTGACTGAACAGTCATCAACCGATCGTAGTCTTTATGGAAGTCACCATCTTTGTAATGTTTTAAAACAAAACCTTCTGGAGCTACCTTCAATTTCTTGCACAATTTTTTTGCTTCTCTACAATTAATAAAATATACATTTCAAACACATAAGGACATTGTTAATAAATATATAGTAAATTTAATTACATATAAATAGCATACCCTGAACAATCTACCAATAACATTGTTCCTTGACCCTTTATGGAGTCTGCAGCCTCCCTGAAAACCTTCACAGTAGCTGATGAATGCTTTAAAGAGCTTATGAAACATACAAGAACATTATTCTTTGTTCGAAGAAGCTTTTTAAATTCTTTCATGTCAGTCACTTCTTCTACAACATTCTTTTGAATATTCTGCTTTGCTAGATTCTCAGGAATTTCCAGTAAAAGAATCTGAAATAAATAGAGAATGTATAACAATAATAGTTATTAATTTAAAACACAAGTTGTACATCTACTACAAACAGTTCAGATTGATAGGAAATAACTGATAAGTAAATGAGTGCAAAACTAGTATTAATTATGAAAACTTAAATTCTGAAATTTGTTCAGTTATATTTGTTAAGTTACCTAGATCATGTACGTTAATATCATGGTACTTTAGTCCACAAAATGAAGTTATGAATGCTTTAAAAAAATCATTCAGTAAGAATGGTGCACATATGACTGATATTTTCCTAGTAATTGTTTTAAATTCATCTTTTCCTTTATTTCAAGTGGTGAAATAATAATTATTTTTCTTATATCACAGAAAATGCAAAATTATTTTAACATTTCACACTATATTACTAAATAATCTTTTTCAGAAGCATAGTAAATAATAATTAAATTACTTTCTAAAACATGACAAATTTCTTTCCTTGAAAATGAGAAAATTCTCTAATAAAAATGAATTTCACATGTACATCTGTCGAGATAAGGTAGCAAAATATGAATGAAATGAGTCCGCATTTACTTACTTTTCATAGTACACTCAAGCTATTATGAACAGAAACTTGTAATCAGTTAGCAACATAATTCAGGAAAAGAAAACAATTTTTAGATAAATAAAATAACATGAACTTACAGCGCATATGACAAGCAGACAGATTTTATAGCTGGGGAGATCCATTTCTTTTGCACAGATATTGAGACTTCATATATTTTCCAATCAACACGTATAACGCTTACCAATTAGACCACAATTCATATCTTACACAATTAATAATTGTCATATATTTCCGGTTTTGACAGAAATGCAGGTTGCCGGCATCGGCTTCGGCGATCGGCGTTCACTCACGACACGCAAACAGCTCCATTGCGATGTACTTCATTGGAAAGATACTCCACTATACACAATGACCCGATCTAAGAGCGTACCAACTGCATGCAGATACATTAGCTTACAAATGGTACGCCCGTTCGGAGGCAAATTTAAAATGACGGCCAAAGAATTCAAACGAACTACTGTCTGAAAATATGAACTTACAATATAGCAATTTGGCCAATCAAACGTGAGAAGCAAATATATAATCTCAAAGCAAACATTTGCTTAATTTTAGAGAAACATTTTTGTAATTTTACGTATTTAACATCAAAGAATTAAAAGTGGAAGATGAATGGGGAAGAAGTGCAACCTGTACTGCATATTTTCTTATCCCTACCCTTGCTTTTACACTTACTAAACTGAATTATGAATAAAGGTAGTAACGAGAGTTTTTGGCAAAACTGCCGTACCTCTGATAAGATTTTTGACAATACTACACAACAAAACACACATCTTCACCCCACCAGTTCTTTAAATGTTGGAATTATTCTAGTAATTGTAAAAAAGAGAAAGTTTTTTTTAACTTTTTGGCGTTGGAGAAAAAATGTATATATTTGTCAGCTTTTTTAGATTGTTCGGAAAATCAGTGGCGTAAACATGAGATATAATGTCGGCCAGAGCATGCCTATCCCAGCTCCCCATCCCTGTTCTGTTCTAAGAGAAACGCAATATCTGCCAAAACATTGCAAATTGAGATATACATATCACTGCACTCAGATAAATCAGCTCTTTCTACTTAGCTTAGAATGTCGTATCTCCAACGGTACAGAAGTTATTTGAATTAAAAACACATTATCTACATCAAAATACGGTTGTGTGCAAAAGAAAACGTTTGGCAGAGAAGCGTTTGCTCAATATAGCGGTGAACAATGGAGTAAATGCTGCGACCATGTGCAGGGATTAGATGCGACATATTGAGAGAATACAAAATACCTTACGGGGTTTTTGTATTCTAAAATCAAAAGCATTAATGCAACAGGTAACATATAACAGGTAAAATATGAGGAATTACGTCGAGATAGAAATCAATTGAGACATCGGAGATGCGAGGCATCGGAAAATGAAAAGATGCTTCTGTTTAAATACATTTTAGGCAATTTAGAACATTTTAGGAAACAAAGTATATTAAAATAACATAAGACATTGCTGACATGACAAGAGATGGCTAAATGTATGGTTGCGAGGGCCACAAGAGCGCATTCGAGTTGAGGTAGTAACAATAAAAACAAGTGAATTTTAGCACAGATTATAGGTGAAAAGGAACACTTTTCTTCTGAGTCTGAGGAATTCGTCAGTTTTTTGGACACTTCTGGCAGTGTGAGTTCCTCTTCAGGCGATGAAGGCAGTGATGAGTGACGCTCAGTGCGATCGCTGCGTCTCGCAGTCACCTCTTCTTATAGCCTACCCGCCGAGAGGGGAAATCTCAGCTGCCGCAGAGTGGGGGAAGCCTCCGAGACTTCACCGAAGGTACGTCCGCCAAGATGGTTTTTTGGCGAGTGGTACAGCTATAGTACGATTTTGTGGGGTGTTGCTGGCGATATATGGATACATGTATTTAAACAATATTTATATTCTGTGTCAAGAGAAAATGGACGCAAGTAATTCGTCTGCGTCTAAAGCAATTTTAGACGCAGCTGCAGAAGCCACACGGGATTTGACCCCAGAAATATACAAAGCACGATATGTAGAGGCATATGAGGAATTTAAAGCATGGAAAATACAAAGTCACGTGGACGTGGTTGCAGAAGATGTAATACTTGCTTATTTTTAAAACTGGGCAAGCTAATTTACACTTGTTTCTTTTACAAAGACAAACCTTTTTCTTACATTTTGTTTTACAAAGTTAAGGGACAAACAAGGCAAACTTTTAATGGTTTTATTATTCAATGTTCAAATGCACAATAGGTGTATGTTAGAACTCGCTGCATAATCAGCATCCTAGTTTTGCACACTCGGCTCGAGCTTGATATTACTCGCGCAACTTTTCTTGAACGATGGATTGAAAAAATGCGGGTAGAGTGGGGATATTAGTTACGAAATCGGCCACTAGATTTTATGAAGCAATGCCAATCTCTGGATAATCAGTCATGCCTTCGTAACGTTCTCAATAATTTGCGTTCTAACTTTATCAGGAGTTCGAAATATCTCCTGTGATAGACTCGTACCTGCTTCGGTCATTTCTTTAGATTTTTGGAGAAAATAACCGATAGAAGTTCTCGTCTTCAA